TATTTTTTATCAGACCAAGTGAGTAGCTGGAAAAAAGTTATTGGCAAGCTTTTGGGTGCAATCACCCTTCCCCAGGCATAGGGAGTCTCTGCTGCTCTGAGACTCCAAAGAATGAGAGAAGCTAAAAGTGTGATAGGATGTCAGTGAGACGGTAAATAGGTGGAAATGAGGACAACAAAAGGTAGAGCAGGGAAGTGAGGAGAAAGAAGTGGGGGGAGGGAAGAAAGCCAAAGGTGAGTAAGGGAGACTACTCTACAGGAGTAGCAATACAAGGTAGAAAAGAGGCTGACTGTGACAGAGGAAATAGCTGGAAATTAGGAAAACAAAGGGGAGAAAAGGAGGGGAGGGGAGAAAGGGGGTGGGGGGAAAGACAAGTGTCAGAGGGACCTGGTGAATCAGACTGTCAGGCAGGTTGTAATGTGTCATAAACCAATGTCTATACCGAGTCCATGATGTTTTGTATCCGGTAGGTTTATGAAGGTGCAAGACCCAGGAATGGGGACGGTGCTGCTGGGGGGTGCTGGAGGTGTGGTGGCAGGTTTTGCATTTCTTCTCCTGGCATGGCCTGGATCCATTGGGTGTACTTTGGGTCATAGGGAGTTTGCTTCTGGTGATGGGGTTAGTGAGGTTCGGTGCTTGTTTAAAGGCTAGGATAGGTGGTTCCAGAAAGATCTCCAAACAAGGAGAAACCAAACAGCAACTGCGCACCAGAATGAACGCACGCTGAAAATCCAGCAGGGAGCTGGGAGAACAGCCCCGGCTCCCGCTCACCCCTTGCTGTGGACCCCAGGGGCAGCGGGGCCGTGCCCCAGCCCCCTGCACGCACACTCAGCTCCCCCAGCAGCAGTTTTGGGGGGGGGTTTAAAGGAATTTTTTATGTTCCAAGACAAATCAGGCAATCAAGTGCAAATCCATGTCAGTCCAGAACCATAAGTGACCCTACAACCGGCAAACATCCTCTACTCTCACCAGGAGCTCCAGATATTTCCAAAGTCTTTTGGAGGGCATCCTACGTGCAGGCGCAAGCCTAGAGGTTTGGGGTTCGGATGCCCCCAAGTTTTGCCTGCCCTTGGCCGTGTGGCTGCAGGAACAAGCTAGGGAGGAGCCCCCCATTTCCATACAGTGAGCTTTAAGCCCCAACACCTCGGCAGGTACTAAACCGCGCCTCAAGGAAAACTGCCTTCTTGGACCCAGATACATGGTGTTTCCTCTGCCCTGCCAGGGAGCAGGGCTGTGTCCAGCAGGGAGGGCCCCCAGGGAGCTCCTTCCAGCCTGGGGCCAGCCGCCCCGCTCTTGTCCAGCTGCCCAGCTGGGAGGGGCCCTGGCCCCCCGCCCGCCCGCACGCCCAGCGCATTGATCTGCAGACAAAGCCCCTTTGTGTGGCCTGAAGCAATTGGCAGAGCCCCCGCCCTGCACCCTGCTCAGGCCGGCCCCGGGCCGGGGCCTGCAGGCAGCGAGCTGCAGCCGACCGCAGGGTGCAGCCAAGGGGCAGTGCTCTGTGCACGGGGCTGCATGCCCCGGGAGCCAGGGCAGACGCAGGGGGAGCGTTGTGCCGGGGCGCTGCACCCAGAGCTGAGGCTGGTTGGCTGGCAACAGGCCAGAGCTGCTCACGCTCCAGCCTGCAAGGCAGAGCCTGGGGTCTCGCTGCAGGGAAAGCAGCGGCTGCTGGAGAGCCCAAGAGCAAGCAGCGGAGAGCCAGGGCGAAGCAGCTCCGGCCGCCCACCCAGCAGGGCTGGACCAGCCCGTGGCCCCCAGGAGCTGTGGCCTAGGCTCCCGCTGCTTCACACCGAGGGGAGACTCAGGCTGCGACGCTCTGGCGGGGGACAAGGCTCCCGGGTCGAGGAGGCTGTGGCCAGATTGGGAAGTCCAGCACAAAGCAAGGGAAGGCTGACTGCGAGCACAGGCTGGAAGGGCCAAGGGGCATTGGGGCTGCAGAAGACAGAGAGGGAAGGGGTCGGTCTCTCCCCAAAGGCCTAGGACAGCCAGTGGAGCTGGGCTTTGTGCGGTGGTTGCAGGGCACAGGCCTAGGAGCAGCAGGGCAGCGCCGGCTGGGACGAGGGGAACTCTGGCCGAGGGCGGCTGAGCACCGGAGCAGGCACCTGGAGAAGCAAGCAGCGGTGGCTCCAAGCCTGGAAACATCCTCGAGCGGGGGCACAGGCTGTGGCTGGGACAGGCTGGCCAGGGACAACCCCACCTCGAGCTGGGGCTGCACTAGTGTGACCCTGTGAGGCCCCTGCCAGCCCTGCTGTTCTTCGATGCCACGAGGGCAGGGAAGGGCCCTGCCCCTGCTCCTTCTCCTCCACCTGGCTGGCGGCGGCAGCAAGCGGTGCAGAGCTCCGCGGCTGGGGCTGATTTCGGTGCCTGGGTGGGTGGCCGTGGGCAGCCTAGGAGAGAGATGGTGCAGCAGAGCGTGGCTGGAGACTTGGAGCTAAAACAAAACGCCCTTGTGAGTCAGCCAGCAGAGCTGGCTTGGCCCCAGTGAGCCGTTACCTGGGAGCACTAATTGCCAATGGTTTAACGAGGGAGCCTGGGGATACTGAGCCCTGGCTCCAGGCAGGTGCAGCGGGAGCCCCAGTCTCAAGCACACAAGACCCAGATAACGGGGGACAGCCAAGGGCCTACGAGTACAAGCGGGGAGGCGGGAGGGACAGGGGGGAGAGTGCAGGCGCTGCCGGTGTGGGCTGCGGCCACAGAGGAGCAGCACTGAACGAGTGCCAAGAGCCCTCAGGCCTCGGGAAATGCAGGCTCCTGCCAGACAGGAAGGGGTTGAGTACAAGAGCCGTGGACGTCCTGCAGCCGTGGAGCGGGTAGGAGCCTGCTGCCGCATAGGAGTGCCCCTAGGGATGCATGGTGGCGAGGAGGGCTAGCTGCACTTGGCCTCCCTGCCAGCAGCTGAGGCCCAGAGGCCCCGGGGAAAGGAGCAGCCCGCATGGGAGGGGGACCACACGCAGCATCTGTACCCAAACGCACTCATACGGGGCTGTCCACGGAGGCTCACAAGCTGAGGTCACAAGCAGCTGTGTCTGGGGGCCAAAGCCATGGGCTCCTAGCTCAGTGATTCTCAACCTCCTCCAGCTCCAGGCGCCCCTGGGAGCAGCCATGCTGAGCTTCCACGTGCTTTCTGACTGTGGAAAAGCCTAGAGTAACGCGAGCTAAGATCAAGTGCAGTCCGCTGCACCGGTCTGCTACCTGAGCCAAAAATGCATTTAAAATGGCACTGCGTAGTGGAGGGCACACCCCCGTCTGCTTGCCGACAGGACTCCTGAGAGCCTCATAGTTAGCTTTCCACTGCCCAGCTTCCAGTGGGAGGATCTCGGCCACACGCCAACTTTAGGGAAAGGGGAGACTCCTCCCCAGCTTGCTCCTGTGCCCACACGGCTGAAGGCAAGCAGCAAGCAAAACTCGGGGTCATCTGAACCCCAGGCCTCTGGGCTTGAGCCTGCATGTAGGATGCCTGCCAATGGATTTGGAAGTATCTGAAGCCCCAGGCTAGGATGAAGGATACTTGCCAGTAGCAGGGCCACATACGGTTCTTGCATGATTCAAATGGATTCAGATTTGATCTGGCTAATTTGACATGGAACACAAAAAATGTAATTAAAAAAAAAATTCTTGCTGCAAAGGAAGTGGCAAGACCAAGAGCACAGCAGGTGAGATGTTTGTGACCCACTGCCTTCTTACTGGAAAACCTCTGGGTTTCTCATGGATCCCATTTGCTCACCACATGAGGCTGACGCTGCCTCCCCCCCCCCCCCCCC